TAGAGTAAAATGAATGAATGGAATATGTTTCAAAAAACTTTTTTTTTCCAGATTTCACAAGGGCTACTTCTAGTATCTTATACTGTATGTGTCTTCTAAAGTTTTTCAAAAATGTAAAATGTTCATGCAAGAAACTCAACAATTTTCTAGCTTTAATGACACAGGATCTTCATTTCTTTTACGTACTGTAATTACTCTGTCTCCTGCTCTTAATCTTCCATCTGCTTTGGCAGGATTATCCAAAATATCTTGAATGTAATAGCAGCTGTCCAGTTTACTGCGAACAATGGTGAAGCCAAAACTGCCACTTGGAGACTTTACTAATGTCACAGAGAGCTCAAATTCCTTCCGCAAATTCTGGAATATAAAGAAAAATGTGTTTTAAAGTGGGCAGCCTCACAGCTCTTGGGCTGCGGAGCCTTCTACGTTGCGTTTCCTTTCTTCTCTTTTCAGCACGGAATAAACCTCTAACTTGTTCCTTTTGCAGCCTACGCATGCTGACAACGCTCCACACCTGAACTACTTCAGCCTCACAGCTCTTCAAGTCCTGGATTCAACTCTCGACTGGCACACTTTCTGTGTGGACGTCTGCATGTTTTCTCCATGTTTGTGCTTCCAAACACATGTTGACTAGTAACTGGCATATCTAATGTGTCCCTGTGTACGCGTTCTAATGCAGACTGGTGTCTTGTCTTGGGGTATAGCCCTAGTTTGTACCCTGTGATTTGTGTCCACTGGGTTAGGCATGTGACCCTTCACAGTAACAATGATAGATTTTGGATTATGGAATAATGGAGGTTTTACATTCATCAAATGCTCAGGGATGAGCGAGTATTGATAATGATTCCATAGCAGAGTTGTGTGGCCCTATTTCGGAGCAGTTAATTTTTTATTTAAAAAATGTACAAAAATACTCCCTACAGAACTATGTCTTACTATATTTCATATGCTTTTTTTCATTTTTATTCTGTAGTGCTCCCTCTCTCTCACCTTCCTGGGGTCTTCATCTTCCTTCTCTTCCTCCTCCTCTTCCACATCCTCCCATTCGGCGCTGCTGGAGGAGGACTGCTCTGCCTTGGCGTGGGCCCGGAGTGACGGCACTGTGACCGGGCCTGGGGGTGTGGCGGAGGCGGTGCTGATGGTCAGGTACTCCTCGTCCGCCCGCGAGGACGGCTTACTGAGTACAGAGTACCTGACTGTCCCATCTGTGTCCTCTGCTGCGCTACTACAAAAAGAAAGTTGTTGAAGAACACCAACAAGTTTTTCCGTGGCCTTTGTGTGTTTTCCACAGTTTATACCCCACGAAAGGAAGGCAGAAACACTTGTTTTCACGTCAGCATGTCAGCATTTTGCTCTACTAAGGCCAGTGCTTTGTCCTTTTTTTAAGGGCAAATGAAAAGGGTGCTGTTTTTCTCATTATAATGTGCTGTGTTCAACGATGGACAGATTGATCTTTACCTTTTACTGACTTTATTTCTATCGCTTTCTGAGAAGCACTTTTCTCTTACGTCTTCCTCCAGTGTAAAGCACACAGGAGCAGCTGGTCCGTCCTCTGGGTGCTGATGGATACTCTGGTCCATGTGACAGCTACTGTGAGGCGAAGGAGCAGTAACTTCACTGTGCAGCTCAGTCTTGCTCTGGCAAGAGTCCACTAGCTGTTTTGGTTCTGCTAGACTGCCAGCTCGGCTAGGAGCCTCTTCGTCCGTCTTCTCTCTTGACGTGCTCTCATATTCATGTATGGTAACATCAGCCAGTTGCAGGCCAGTCAACCTCGATTTGATTTCTTTAGTGGGAGAAGGTGCTGGAGTCTAACAATCAAACAACAGAACAGCAAAGCCTGTGAAAAGGCTAATTGAAATGAGAAATATTGTGAAGCCAACAAAAACATGGTAGAATTACCAAACGTTTTTTCTACTGTATTTTTATGCACATTTTATTCACTTAATGAAAAAACGTATTTTAACGTTTCATGTTGAACTTTTTAGGGCTGTGTTATGAAATACAAATAATTTGAAGAAATTGAAACTGAAAACTTGGACCTTGGACAGTTTCAAACGAATTCCGTTCAACTGTAATTAAATTAGGGGCATTTTGTCTATCAACTGGATGTAAAAATAAGATTAATCTCTTTTGAGGTCAATATACCCTTCTGAGGAAATCAGTTTAGAGCGCTTAAACACTGGAAGAAGCTGCACTGTGCCTTACCACCGCATTGACATCGACTTCAGGAAGCAGCCCAGGAGCTGGGCGGCACAGGGACAGTGTCACCTCCTCAGGGCCCCCCCGCAAAAGATGGAGAACATCCTGCATGTGAAGAGAAAAGCAAGAATATCTCGCTGTACCGGCTGCCAACAGGCTCTTGCTGCTCTCTTGGAGACTGAACTTGCTCAAGCCAGCTTGTTTTTTCATAAGGAGTAAAGCGGCACGAAAGACGAACCCTCAAAAGTACCCGTCCATGTGATTCTATACTGTACTTGTGTTGAAATGGTAAAAAACGCATCATGCGTGACAAAGGAGGAATTACAGAAGAAAGAATAGACTGGCTGAGCTGTGTTCAGAACATCCAGAAGCACCACACCCTGCCGCATCCCCACGAGTTCAAAAATGGATGGGTTATTATACAGTACATACTGTTACAGAGAAGTGGCAGTAACTTTTTTGTGCACAAATGGGGTTTTAATATGAAAATGAATTCTTTCTGAGAGACACGTAATGTCTGTGTTGCTGTCATTTCTAAGTTTGCTCCGGCGCTTATTCAAATCCTTACCAATTTTCATAAATAGGGTACAACTTAGTTTTCTGGTATAATTCAGAACCAAATCTGATCCAATTTTAGTTTTAATGGGCCAAACATTTCCATGTCGACAGCTCTTGAAAAGAAATAGAAGACCTTGTTCTCTTTTTACCCAGTACGACATTCCTTTCACAGACTTCTTATTGACAGCCAGAATGACGTCTCCAACTTCAATCTTCCCACTCTCCTCTGCTGGCTGTCCAGGGAATAGCTTCTTGACTCTGAAAATGCCTTTGTGGTCCTCTGAGATGGGGCTGCAGTCTGTCCACAGGAAGCTGAAGCCGAGGCCACTGAGGTTCTTCTTTAACGTCACTTCAAAGGTGTTGTCTGTCAATAACAAGCTGTTTGAATTCCACATCACGTAAACAGCTGTCATAATTACATTATTAGGAGAACAACACTAGCATTACCATGACTTTTAATTCAATACATTAACAGTTGTATGTTAATGTATCTAAAGTACATGAACAATTATTGCACACGCAACATTACTGGATGTCACACTGTCAAAATGGCTAAAATAAAAAAATAGAATAAAATGCAAAAGGAGAAATTATTTTTTCAGAAGAAGTATTTTTCAGGAGTATGCGAGGGCAGGGGTGAATACTAAATTAAATACCAGAAATAACTGATGTGAAGTTGCTTTAGCATGGAGTCTTTAGGGCTTAGAAGCCGTATTTCAGCTCTCAGGATGTGTGCGTCGTGTTTTCAAGGATAGCAACTACAGTGTTACTGTCAGGCTCAGTGCAGTGTCTCTGCTCTGCTGTTGTGTCTTACCCTCTGCCACAAAGCTGTAGTCCTTGGCTTTGATAGACAAGGGCGTTGCCGTGGAAACGGTGGCATGGTGCTCTCTGCTCCTGTGAGTGGCAGCTGGGGCTGGTGGGGCTGCTGGTGCTCTGGGGCTCTTGGCGCCGGGCGGCTCTGGAGCCCCGTGCTGCTCCCTCCGCAGAACGAGGTGCACAACCTGACAAAAGAAATACCAGGAATGCATTGTGTGCAATGCAGAGGACATGTATGCAAACTGTTTTATCCGTGTGCTGTTTTTCTTCTTTAGTGCTTCTGGACACTTGACACAGCTACCTTCCTTTCTGTCCCATTAACACACAATGCCAACTCACTTAGTCCGTGAGTTGCTGCTTCTCTATCAGGTAAAGGATCCTGCACAGGTCTATCAGAGACGCCCTTTTAGATGAACTAACAGAAAGAGTTTATATTTGATGTTTGTATTATTTAATTCACAATTAGACAAGTAAAAATGGCAACACACAATAAACATACAATACATATGTAATGCTCCCTGGCAGTTCAAATACAAACTAGCCTGTCTGCAGTGTATCAGACATGCAGCATCTATTTTCACATCATCAGATGTCTCAGAGCAATAACACACTGGTCAATGAAATTGGTATTGGCAGAGACAGGCAGGGCAGGGTCCAGCTGAAAGGCTAGGACCCCTGGCAGATGACTGTGTGGTAGAAACCTTCAGAGCAAAACATCTGTTCTCCTAAGGACATGATGCTAAATAATTTGGAACTGGATGGCATGTACAGTAGTATGGGCCCATATAAAAAATGCTGTGATGTCAAGAAGTCACAATCAATTACATGGATGAGTGGAAACGGGAGTGGGGATCTACACCCATTACTGAAGGGTTTGGGTTCAAGTCTGCAGTGTTATATGCTTGATAAAGGCACAGGTCTTTACCCTGATTGTTCCTGGTAGCCATGGTCTATCAGCTTTGCTGGAAAGTGCACATGCAAAGGACTGAAGACCCAGGTACTGGAAGTCTTGTACTTTTATGATTTTTCTTGTAGTTTCCTTCATCAAAAACTACAACAAATTGTGGCCCTGTGAGCTGCCGTAATGGTCTTTGAGTTTTCATAACTTAAAAATAAACAGAGTTTAGCGACAGGAAATTGATTCCAGTTGTCAGATCACGTATATGCATACCTTAGCTTTGTGCAACAACCTGAATCTTTCAGGTACCATAAATAATATTATTGCTATACATATGTCATTCTAATCTGCAAGCGACCAGAATATAGAATACGAATTTTTGTATAAAAATGCATTAAGTCCTGTTCTACACCTGCATTCTTTTTCCCCGGCAAAGCACCAGCGCAGTGTACTGATAGATGATTTACAGGTTTAACCAATAAGTACGTTTGGTTGCCAGGCTGTGATGCATCCCTTGACTGCAAACAAACCTCTCCCGTGTTCTTCAGGCACTCCACAGCCTGTCTGTGAGTGAAGCTGCGCAGGCTGACCCCATCCACTTCCAGCAAGCAATCACCTGCCACACAGGAAGCAAGCAGACCATGACGGCCTCTTCGTTAGCCAGACACCACAAAAGATTCTGCACTGATAAATTCACCTTACTTCTACTCTACATAGGACACAACCAAATCTAAACGTTTTCCAGTAGCTAAAAGTACTTAAAGTTCATTACTTCTACACTTTTTACTTTAAAAGGTCCTAAACCCTTGTGATCTTTCAAAAAGGCGCATGTCTGATGCTCCTAAATATTATTTGATTTTAAAAACTGCTGGCCTGTATAAAACTGGAAATGCAAGATCTGTCGTACATTTTATTGTGGGTCTAACTACTGTACATTTCAAGTCAAATAAGGATTAAACAAGTATTACGGTAGTAAAGTTGAAATTATCAGGCCAAATAAAACCTATTCTTTCATATAATACATTTCTTAGAAGACAAACTGTAAACTGCCTTTGGTGTATAGAGATGATTCTGTCAGTGCACTGAAAAAGAAAAGGGCTGTGAATTTATTGTTTAAAGGACTGTAAAGTGTAGTGTCACAGGAAAAGTACAATTTCTATCTTGCATGCTAAAGACCACTGTTGATATAATAACATCATATTTCCATTTTGCATATGTGCCCACATATCTGCCTGTTACACCATTCTCAGCATTGTACAATAAAGTATACAAATAGTCATGCCAACAAGAGCTGATGAAGCACCTTTCTGGATGTGTCCATCTTGGTCAGCAGCTCCACCAGGCACTACAGCTTTGATATAAATCCCACCGTGACGAACACTGGTGTTAACACCCCCCTGAAAACACACAAAACTGACATTAGGACCCTCTTTAGGTCATAGAACAGGTACGGGTTTCTTGCTGATCAACATGAGTAATTAACTGCAGCTGCGGTCTAGTGCTCTGCAGATAAGGGAAACAGCTTGTGTTCTTTGACGTGGAAGAGATCCTCTTTCACCTACAGTGACGCTGATTCCCAGACTGCCATCAATCTTTTTCAGTTCCACGAAGTGCACTTCGCTTGGGATGACGTTGGCTTGTTGTGATTCTGATTGGCAGAGCGCGTCCTGTGAAAAACAAGAGTCCGAATTTTTTTTAAGTATCCAGAAGTTAAGCCATATTTGTTTGATTTCATTTCCTTCAGTTTTCACCTGCACAGGTAAAATCAACCAAATTAAAGAAATGGAGCAGAAGACCTGTCCATCCAGGATTCGAACCGCAGGCACTTGTAATCTTCTCACGGATCCCGGAGTCACCATATTGGAGTCGACATACTGTTCTGCTGTTGGAACTATGTGACAATCACACCTCTTCTCTACGGAGCTCTGGCTTCTATGTGACTTGTATTTACTATTATTTCTGTTTGTTGCTGGGTCTGCGTAGACAAAACATAATAAAAATATTCAGTATATTCAATAAAAGCGTTCAGTCTTCTAATTGTGTTTATACTTCCACAATTTTATCAAGACAGACGAAATATCATTTCCAATATTACCATGATGATGAAAACAAAATGAAAGCTATCACAACAGCATTGCAGTCATTCTGACTGGTTCATTCAGTGCTGCCCAGCTTGTTTTTCACTCCACATGCACAGCAAAGCAAACTGGAAATGTTAAGTTTTTTCACCGTAAAATCATTATATAAAGCAAAGTTGACAACAATGAAAACAAAACGAAACTTTTATACATATTTTTTTAAACAGAAATAAAGCGTTCTTCAAAGCACGTCCACAGTGTATACACAAACTTACAGGCATAAGATAGTGAAGTAAATTGTTACTCTGATGGAATAAACACTGACAAGAACTGACATGTTACTGCATAGCTCCATATGCATCTGTAATGCTTTAACCACGGGTTTCTAGCTATCCCTTGTTCCACACCTACAGCTCTCCCTGTAGGAGACAGATCCCGTAAGGATATCCTGGTCTATAAGTATGTCAGCTGCACCATTTTATTCCACAGAGTTCCCTCTACAGCAAATTGAACATTGAATAATCAGACTGGGCCTTGGGTTTTTCAGAACTGACTTGCTTCTGCCATTTATTGAAAGCAGTTCATGCCATGCCAGTTTTAGATCTTTAACAGTGTGACAAGCTATACAGAAAATAAACATACTTTTTGGTTGGGAGATAATGAGCTCCACATCCTCCGGACAGTTTTGCAAAATTCCTGCCGCCGTGTTGAACGTGACTCCCTCCAAGCTCATCTTATTTAGAGAAATCAGCCGACCCCCTGGTACAAAAGTGAAGAGGAAACCATAACAAAGACAAGAAATTCATGTCTCATTGTATTCATAATAAAACAACAAAAGACATCTAGCACACAGTATTACCTGGCTTGATTCGTCCATCTTTATCTGCAGGCCCATCGGATATGATGGAAGCAATAAAAATTCCAAGGTCTAATTTTCCTGTGCTGTCGTCTCCAACTATTACAAAGCCTATCACAAACAATTAACAGCGAGCGATAACAATATGGAGTCATAATGTAAATCATTAAATTCAGTTCGATATATTTCTGTGTATATAGACTTTTGTAGAAAAGTTACAATAATAAAGACTTCGTACTTTGTTTTTAAAATACTTTTTAAAGAAATTGGTTATTGACATCCTCCAACACATTTGACAGTAATAATAATACATTGTGTTAAAAACTACATTTATTAAGCTAATATTACAGCTGTCTCTTATTATTTTAGAATGTGGGGATATGATATTTTTCTATAAAAGGTCATGATTCAAATTTCTGACAAAGCCTGCAGTTCAAATACAGTATTTCAGAATTTAGAATTTATCCTTTATTTTATTGATTAATGGACATTCTCTAAAAGCAATTTTAAGGCTAGAAACGCTAGTATGATCAGCATACAGTATGCCAAAATTTAGGACGCACATAAATGGGATAGAGCAGTTGGAGAACTAATTTGCACAAGCTACATTAAATAGAGTTTGTTATAACAAAACAGACCTACAATGAAATCCTAATGGAGTTCCATGACTGCTTTTCCGTGCAACAGTGAGACCAGACATTAGTCTGGCGTGATAACCAGTCTGTTATCAAAAATATTTTTCCCATAAGTCTGGTGGTAATTAAAATGAAAGTGGGTTTTGTGACAGAACGTATTGGATATGAAAGTCTCTTATGCAAGCTATTATCAGTGGTCCAAAAAGTGATCTCTTCATTCGTATTACACTATCGTATGCACCTGTGCTGAGGACTACACATACTATAGAAGCAGTTATAGTACTATACAGTATCTTCCTAGTAATGTCTCTCTAAAACTCCTAAGAACGTCCATTAATCTTAAAGGCTGCCATTTCTATCTACGATGCAGGCTTGGACTTTGCTATGTTGGATTTTGCCTTTGCTCCAGGCCTCACACTCTGGCAATAAGCCCAGTGTCTTGGAATTTTCTCTGTTTACTCACCAAGGCCTAGTTTTGGGTCCTTCTTCAATGACACACAGATAATTTCTCTCTGTGGCATAGCAACTTTATTTTGGAAATCTATAATGCAAATATAAATAGACGATTATTAATGAGTCTTTACTGTACTTGTAAAACTTAAGCCCTAAGTTAAATTATATGAATCAGAATCAAACAATCAGAGACAGAAGATGAATAAAGCACAGTTTTTCCAACATTTGAAAAGAAGAAAGTGTAAAAAAAGATGCCAACCGACATTTAAAAGCAAATTATTAGAAAAAAATGAATATTTTTTCTTGATTGAACTTGCTTTTACTAGGATACAGTCTTTTGTATTTTATTACATAGAGGTTTAAGACAAGAACAACTCTACAGTCACATAACCTGGCATTGGTGGTATAACAGAGCAATTTCCACTGGATTGCTTTAAAAGATGTGTCCTACTCTGTAAATATTTAAAATGCTGAACAAAACACACTTTGCTTTTCTTTCTTTTGATATTTCAACAATAATACCTTTTATCAAGGGTTTTCTTTTGTACATGATAACTAAAAGTGTATAACATAAATCAACCACTATAATGAGTCAAAATTAGAAATGATACTCCCATTTCTCCTGGTATGGCAATCTGTTACAATATTTTTACTATGCACATTAAAGGCACAAACTGGTTCCCTTTCCCCTCTGATGCTATCCACCAACCCTAATTCTCTAATTCCTGCTCCAACCCAACCCCTCTACCTAACCAGGAATATCACTATGATGCTCCAAGCCCAACCTTAACACTAACTCCAAACTGTAACCCTATCACTACCTCCAAATATAACTCTAACCCTAATAATGAGCAACTGCTCGACCTGTTTCTTTCATGCAAATGAGCAGGACAAACAAGCAGCAGAAGTGTGGAGCAAAACACTTTCTTTCTGTTATAGTTAAGTTCCAATTTAAAGCAAAGAAATAGATGCGTAAATGAGGTGTTTGTGAGTTTGTTTGTTTTTGCTCTGGTGTATACAGTAGGTAGTTTATGAATACAGAAATGGAAAAGTAACCAGCCATGTGACTCAGAAACAGACAACATCTTGTAACCCTTTTATTTCAGTCAATGGTAACTTTGCGGCTATTAAGGCATCACAAATGTAAAAAAGATGTTCCTGTGGAAATCTCGTGATTTTAGGGTCAAATTAAAGCTGTGCTTACCTGTTAAGCCTGAACTGCTGGGGTGATCCAGTGTTCTTTCAGAGTCTTTGTTTTGCAAAGAGGTGCTAGATTGTACATGAGAAACTGGGAGACTGAGAGAAGAGAGGAGATCAGGTGTTGAGAACTGACAGATCTTTACTACAGCAATTCCTAAAGCCACTCAGTATCCTAGCTTTGAAGAGGCATCAGCATGAGGAACATGAAAGGCTCAACAACTGCTGTTTTTTTAAATGAGAAAGATCACACAGGGGGAACAAATTTAAATTCCTGATCTACTATTATACAGACAGAACAACGTGTAATATACAAGATGATGAGAATTGATCATTGGAATCACTGGAATATGTAGTAGGGGGTTATGATTTTTGTGTTTATTTTTAAACACAAATTTGTCTGGAAAGCCAGTCTTATAATTTTAGACTTTTCATGTACAGTAAATCAGAAAATGCCCCAAAGATGTTTTTCTCTTATAAATTTGCATAACCCAGCAAAATGGTTATTTGCTTCCCTACATAATTAATACTGGTAATCTTTGTTTTCAATTTTGTTCAAATTCAGTGATAAAAAAGTGTACCTCCATGTCTGATCACTAATTGTTTTGTCCATCTTTATACTGATGTCATCACAGGATTTGCTCAAAGGATTGCTGGGAACACCATTCTCATCCCTGGTCAGCACTGTCTCTGAGCAAGACAGTCTCTTCAGCCGCTCGTGCTGGTCACAAGGGGCAGCATATCTGGGCGTGCTGCCTTCAGCAAGAGAGTATTTGTTTTCATCTAAAAAGAGAAAAAGAGCTTCGGGTTTTTAAATTCTTAAAATGTTCACTGGCCTCAACCTGCTAAACAAATGGCTGGAATCATGTCTACCGACCCAGGATGGAAAATGGATGGAGAAACAGACTGAAGGCATGTCAGGGATAATGGTGTGACTTCTGTATTCTAGAATCTCCTTGTGTAATGTAGGTTACACAAGTGAGGGCGTCCAGGACATACTGCTACTTCCTAAAGCCGGAGGGATTACTGGCTCCTTAAAGGAGCATCAGTGGGAGCCTCTTGGATCCACTTGGCAAAGAGGAATCACTGCCTTTCTTATGAAAGAATGATAAACATTGAGAGAACCTTTTAGATTCAAGTCAGAAGAAACCTTAACCTCTGCTTTTAAATTAATTTGCATTATTTCAGGAGGACAACGTCTGCATGCCCATAACCTTTCTGGTAAACTACATTTCCTTTAATCACATCTAACGGACCTTGGTTTATCCTTCATATCAATGGACAGATTATATTTCTGAGTTCCCGTCAAGACCCTTAAATGGCTAAGTCTAGACACAGAACTCCCACAGAGATCACCAGCTGTTCAGATGATTACAAACAAAGCTATAGAAATGCATTAACTGGAAAACTTTCCACAATGGTGCACTTTTTGTTAGGAAGGAAACATGAACTCAAAATGCTACAGTATCTTCTCACTGGAAGAACTACTGTACCTAGGGAGTTTGCTTGGAAGGAAAATAGGGTATCTAACGTTATAAAAAATAAACATTTAATATTTTAAAATACAGTAGATTCTGGAAGATTCATTCACTTTGCATCTTAACTGTCACGCCCTCTGCAGCCGGAGGGCGCTCCTTCTCTGTCCTGTCCCTAGTTTCCGGTCTGCTGTCCTTCCTGTCCCTCTCTTTCCCTTGGGCTATATATTTCCGGGTCTTGCACTCTGTCCTCGCTCAGCATTGACGTTCGGATGTCCTGAGACCCGCCTAGCACCAGGTCGCCCCATGTCCGCTCCCTGAGGGCATAGGTTTCTATACGGCATTCCTGAACTCTTTGCACTAATGAGCCCGGGCCTTTTTCCCGTCTCGCCGGTACGCATTTGGGTCTTTTTCCGCTCTCCTGCTCCCCACGGTTAGTCCCTTTGGACGTCCGTGACATTAACTGTGTTGTTCCCGACTATGGGGAAACAGTTGTAAAGATAGCATGTCTCTCGCCTTGTGATGAGAGCAGTTTTCTCCATTTCAGTATCCAGGGAAATTTATAGGAATATTTGAAAAATTAAATAAAGAAGACAGAATTCATTCAAATTGTCAGAATTCAACCCGTCAATGAGTCTGTGCTGCATAACGTTGCCTTTCAGGTGCACAACACATCCTACTGCTTCCCAGCTGTCGCCATTCCTACCACTCACCTGCAGCCAGGCTTTGGCTCAGCTGGCGTGAGCTCATTTCACTCTGGAACTTGTGCTGCGCAGAACAGAGGTTCAGCAGGTATTTGGAGATCCGTGAGCTCTCCGTGAGAAAGCTGTGCTTCTTCCCACTTGTGCTGCTCTCAACAGCAAACTTCTTACGCTGTGAGGAAAAAGCGATGAAGGATACGTTCAAAGCTGAGTTCTTGCTCTTCTTTACAAGGTCTCTTCCTGTTTTTTAGGATAGGAGCTGGCAGGAAGACACGTCAAGTATTTTCACGGCCATTAACATTTGTGGTCTTTTTTTTTTACTCACAGTTGAGGAGATCCTTTCCGTCTCTCTCCACTGGAATCTAAGGCTGGCAATTCTGGAATTGTTCTTTACTTCATAAACAATAATGCCTTTGGCACATATTCCAAGAATCAGATCTCCCCCCCTGGGTTTCTTTGCTCGTGCAAGGCGGTGAAACAGCACTCCATACTCTGGCAGCTGCTGGGTGACCTAGAAGCATCAACAGTCAAAGTCAGCTTTCTGATGTTATGCAATAGGCATTAACGTGATAATGTATGTAGACAGAAACACAATAAGAAGGTAGTTTAGATATGAATCATCTAGACTTAAATTATTTTACCAATAAAGTCTCAGAAAATGTAAGAGTGGTTGCGGATTCTTCAATTTATCACTAAGAAAAATGGCTTGTATTTACTGTTTAAAGAACTTAAAAAAACACTAATTTTGAATTTTTAATGCAGCACATAGAATCACAGAGCTTCATTTATAAAAGTCTTAATGTATTTCAGTTGCGAGAAATCTTTCATCACCTTCAGGAATTCTATTTCTGCTTCTTCAGCAGGCAGTCTGGCATTGTTGGCATGCAGTCTTGGCAGTTCGTCTTTTAAAAAGGACAACACCAGCTTTTCAATCACAGTTTTCGGGATGTAGTGTTCTGGTTGGAAATAGTTCATGCCGTAAACCTTTACAAAAACATGATATATATATATTTACTATCAAAGATGCACTAAGATTCACTGCAGTTATTCATTAATGTATCCTGTATTAACAGTGGTGGCATTGATTTGACACTTCGGGAAGACTGCCTTGAAACAAACTATTTCAAAAGTAATGTGCTCAGCGTTGCACTGGAGAAGGTCATATTTATGTCATTAGTTTTCCATTATAAAATATGTTACTGGCCAAATAACTTAAGAACTTATTGACATGTTTTGAAATGTTTAATGCAATACATATTGTGGATGACAATCGACTGAAAAAATCAAATTATTCTGAGTTCAAGACTTTTCAGTACTGAAGTTTTATTGTCTCCCTATCATAGGAAAACAAGACAAAAAAAGAAAATGGTGTTAATATCAGTCAGAACAATAGTTACATACAAAAGGACTCCATTTGACCCATCTGACCCTTTTTGCTAATTAGTAGCTTATTGATCCAAGGATCCCATCTTACCATTTTTGGCAAAGAATTGGCTTCAAAAAGTACTTTTCAGCTATTTCGGTAAAGAAGTGCCTTCTGTTCCAGTTTTCAAATGTACTTCCATATAGTTCCATTTGTGTCCCCTGGTTCTTGTGTCAATGTTCATTCTGAAGTCCACTTCATTTAATTTGTCAAGGCCTTTGAGGACTTTGAATACTTGTATCAGGTCCCCTCATATTGTCCTCTTATTTCGAACTAAAAGGTTTCAGTTCTTTCACCCTATCACTGTAGGATATTGTTTTAAATCCCAGAAAGCATCTGGTTACTCTTCTCTGGGTTGATTCCAGAGCAATATATTTTCTGTAACATTGTAATCAACATTGTACACAATATTCTCAATGAAACCTAACTAGTATATTGTACAATGTTAACACAACATGCCTTGATTTGAATTCTACACTTTTAACTATGTAGCCTAATATTTTGTTTGCCTGTTTTAATGCTTTCCCACATTGCCTGGAAGCAATGTGTCAACATAAACACCCAAGTCTATTTTACAAATTGACTTCATACAACAGAAGTCTGCAATTACAATAGTATTTGAAAATAAGATTTTTTTGTACTAACTACTTCGGTAAAAGCTAGTCTACAGTGCCCCTCAGACTTATTCATACCTCCAGTAAAACAACAACACAGCACATCTCCTAACAGACTGAGTTATGGATTAGTAATTTTACATTACCAATTGGTACCATTAATTAAAAATCTGCAGGGCGTTACAAATGTTAATGCTTCAATCTTCTGTATATGTTATATCTTCTCCAGTGTGTGTGTTACCTCAGGGACATAATCTCCAAACTCAGCCTGGAGCGCCAGAGCACCGAGATACAAAGCTGTCTCATTACTGCAATACAGCCTCTCTTCGAGAAGATCCCTTCGCATCTGTAAATAGTACTGGTGCCTCGTTACTCCATGCCTTCAAGGTAGAAGCAAACAAGAAAAAATTACCTAACTGGAGACTGTAAAAAACACAGTAAACATGAGAATCATTGATTATTAAATAATACTTACTGAATAAAACTGATGTCATCCACAAAAAACTTTATCCTAAGGAACAGGACAAAGCCAATGGGTGTCCCTTTCTTCCAGCCTTCAGGAGCAACTTTTGATATTTTGGTGTCGTGGTCCAGAAAGAAAAACTCATCGTCTGGAAAGTGAATAGAATCACCTACTGTAAATACTTAATCATTTTAGCAACAACAAAAGATGAAGAGATAAAAAAGCATTGACATCACAACTTTGTTTCGTTGGTAATTCTGAAGCCTCCAGGTAATGCTTAAGGAAACAGTAGTGAAAGTACCATCAATGAAAGCCAGGCCAAAGTAGAAATGCTCCACCAGGTTTGCATGAGCCACCACCATGTCAAAGATATCTCTGGCTTTGGACTTCATCTCGCATTTCACCTGAATGGACTGTCCATTTGGCATTAACACAAGGAGAGCTCTCTGCACGGAGCTGGTTTTCCCCTTCTTTGTCTGGAAGGAAGGAGAACAGACCGATCTGTTACTTTATTTTCAACACTGCGCTATTCACACCCCAGATACTTCAATGAGATGGCTGAATTGTATTGCACTCATATATTCACTGCCTTTGAACACTGTAAAACATTGTGCCTGCTTGGGCATTGGGAATAGATGAGGTTGAGAAATGGGCTGGCACAGCTTAGCTGGGTACACCATACAGCTTAGCCACGTATACCATTAAAGCACGCTGGCCTGCGGTGGCTTCTGAAGCTGCACGTTTGTGGCTTTGAAGGACAGTCCCCTGGGGACAAGGTTTCAAACGGCAGGTCAGCTGGGGAACAGATGGCCCTGGGAGGGCAGAGCAGGTTCAGGCTGTGCTAAGAGTGCCTGCATATGGGCAGCATTTAGAAATAGGTTACTGCGGCTGACAGAATTTATTAAGTCTGTCTGGTTTGTAGCTTGTATTTTGCATTGCTACTGTATGTTCCAGCTGAACTATAACAGGCCTTTTTCAGATCACACTGATTGTTATCCTTATTTATCCATCTCCTTTTACCTCCAATCACACTTGTATGGCTCACATTGGAGCTGTGCCTTGCAGAATAAAGCTTGTGTAAGAAAGCCAATACTCCCTCTCTCTTCTAGCCTTTTCATGCAGCTGCATCTGGAATCGCACCTGATGGCCAGCTCAGCGGACACAGCCAAATTGACATGGTGGCAGAGTGTGGATTGGCTTGCAGAATGGATCCCAAGGCCACCGATGGCTTTGTTCTATTTTCAGATGTGTCTAAACTAAGAAGATGTACCAAATACCCATGAACAGATACCTCCTGGGTGATATACTCCGAAGAAGACGTGAGATGGGGCTCTGTAATTTAAATTCTTGTTTTATTATGTGTGATAGTTCTCAGTGACTCTAGAACAGAGGAGCATGAAGGAATGAGGTACGGTACACACTAATCTGGGGCTGACCTTGCTCCATTGTCAGATAACTAGTGAGGCTGATGTCTCGCAGTGTGGCTCCAGCTTGGCTCAGGAATATAGCCAGGGTGACAGGAGCCATGGACCCTGCTTAGCTCGAGTGTGCCGGCGTGAAAAGGCTTAAAGGGGGTGTCGTGTGCAAACAGTATTCAGCTGCGTACGCTCCTATAATGAAGAAAATCTGTTTTTACCACTATTGACCCAGGCAATTCCAGTTGTATCTGTGGTTCTCCAGACATTCTGATGAATTCAGGTCCCAGATTCTTTGAAGAGACACAGACATACAGGCGCATGTGAGGAGAACATTCTCAGGATAAAAAAAGACGCCCAAATGTGTTTTCACAATGATGTGCAAAAGATCAGAGTGGCTTGACTAGAACAAATAAAACAAATAGTACAATCTGTGCTTCAACGCATGCTGACATAGTTCCTCTGCACAGATGTCTGTAAAATGCAAAACTCCTCTATGATTTCACAGGTTCAAAGAGGCTACCTTAGATTTCTTTTGTGTAAGGCTGGTGGAGGAGGCTCTGGACTGTGTAGACTTGTTGTCACTGGGATGGGGAACATCCAGGTAAGAGCTTCTATTCAGCCAGCTGCAGCTGCTGCCTGTGTGCTGTTCTCTGAGCGTGGGAGTTCAGCATGAAAAACAAGAAAGTAGTTGAGTCGGAGGGCAGGGCAGTGATAATACTAATCCAACTGAGGACAGCGCAGTTACAGATGGAGATGCAGATTTTTAGTTTTCTGATGGGACTTTTCTTCATCACATATCTACCACACTCACATCATCTACCACAAGGCAGCTATTGCATAGGTGAATATTTTAAATAAAATTCCTTTGTACAATTTATTGAACACGCAAAGCAATTTGATATGATGAAAACGTAAAATGAGTTCTGAGTCTTCAAAAGTAAGCTTCTTGTTGAAATTCCAATTCCAATCCAATATTACCTTTCTACTGCATTCACTTAAGATCATTTTAGTCTCTTAAATGATTTACCCATGCTACTGTACGTACGGTTTAAATCTGTGCATAATATTCATTGAACAAAAAGGACTGTGGCAAGGCGTTCTGCTTCCTGCTGGACGGTAATTGTCAGTCTTGTTACCTGTCAGTGCTGGTCAGAAACATACTGCCGCCTAATCTCTTATTATGAGCCATCCAGCCAGCCTGGTGACGTGAAGTCCCTGTAAAATATCCGGCACAGCACAATGGATATGCGGTACAGAGCATCTGAAAACAGATCACCTTCCAAACTGGCCTCCACCACAAATAGATCTTTATCGAAATGAATTCATCTTGATGGCTAGCCGGCAACAGATACTCGGACTGCAAGGTTCATAACAAATACAATATTTATCTTGGGAAGACTATGCAGACAGCAATGAGGAAAAATACATTTTCGAGAAGGCCTTTTTATTGTTTTATTAAAGCACTGCATTTCTGCAGGCCTGCAAGACACCGTACGTGAGTACAATGTCAAGTGAGCGCTCAGTTCCATAATGTCCACCATAGAAACGGTGTTCGCTACATCTGTATTCTGACATTTCTTTCTGCACTTCCTCCTTTCTTCTGCTTTGCTTTCAATGTAGTGTTCTGTGCTTTTTACTCTCCCAAAACCAGGCTCAGAATTCAGAATGAGTTCAGGCTAGGGGGCTAACAACAGGAGAGCACATCCGTGATACACGCACGGACCTAAGGGGACTCAACAGATGATGTTTTTAAGGACTACCAATGTAGACCATGGCTCACGGAAAAAAAAAACAAACTTTTTGCTGCATATCACTGTTTCTTCTTTTCAGCAATAATACAAACATACAGAAAGTACAGTGTGTATTACACATCACTTTCCAAACAACATTATCAAAGAAGAAAACATTTTTAAAACATATTTCATAGCAAACTACTGACAGTGTAGTGCTATAGACAGGCTGAAGTAGTTCAAGTAGTACTATAAACAGGCACAGTTTTTCCTCTGTATAAAAGAAAAGACATGGCTGTTTCATTTTTCTCCTTTATAAATAAGAAATTACTGTCTAATAAGAATAGTTACATAATTCTTAAGGCTTCTGACAAAAAAAAAACTTTTGTCAAGGTTTATGAGATGCATGGCAAAAGTAAGTTTAGCCTCTAATACAATCTAATCTCTATTTTATTTCTAAAAGTATGGCTGTGTAGAATATAAGATATTCACTGTAAGGAATCCTTCAGAATCCTTTAGTAGATTTATAGATTTTACATTTTTTATTCCATTATCATAGGAGGTAATACTTATACCTGATAGATCTGTACTTTGTCGTACAAAATGTTGCCTTTCAGGTTTATGGATAAGTAGAGAGAACACGATGACGTAAATAACAAGGAACGACAGGTAATGAGTTAATTAGTCTTGATTAGTACATTTGATAGATTAACAAATTCAGCACTTAATTATAGGTGCTCATGTACAGTTTAACTTGTGGTAATGTGCATCATGTGAATCTCATCATTGTGACTTAACGATGAAAAATAAAAAGCGTTCTTTTTTCAAATGCTGATTAAGTTGTATTAATAACTATTTACAGTAAGTTGTTATAATGGCTGAGAACACTAGTAGAGGCACTGAGTAAATGTTTAATGGTCATAACACAACCATACTCTCACATTTATTTAAAACTTTGGCAGAGCAGCTTATGTTTGTTTTTTATACCTTGTTTAGTTTCTGTGTCGACTGGCAATCCAGAACTTTCTCCAGACGCGCTGTTTGTGTCACTGTACCCTGAATGAGGCCTCTGTCTGCCTGCAGGTCCAACACAATGAAAGCGTACAGGTGAGGGGTGGCTGTCTGAGGGAATGTTGCATGGAACATAAGGAAGAAGAGACTGGGGAAAATGTTCAGCAAGAGCAGAATTTCATGGTTTAACATAAGCAGGTACACATATTCATGATTTCAGGCTATCAGCTGGCTTTATCTTGTTCTCAGTTCAGGGTAATTCCTTAATCTTATTACTGGCATTACAATATGCAGTACCTATGAAAAAAAGAGAATGCTGTGACACTCCAGTAACCTTAACTCTGCAAAGTTAAGAAGGGTATCTAATCCCAGAATTCACAGTGATGAGAGATACAGACAGAGAATGGGAAACAATAAGAGACTTAAATACAAACATTTCCTATTTATTTAGTTTTATGAGATTCCCCAAGAGAGGCTATAGTCAGCTATAGACGTTTCAAACCTTTAGGTAAAATTGATTTTTTAGAAGCTTCATTGATTTAAGAGACATTGTTGTGGCTGTGATATTCAGTTTTCAAAGTAACAAAAATGGTCACACAAGATTAAGTGGGGTTTAGAAATATACGGAATAGTATAATGTAACTACCCAGTCCATATTGCTCTGTGTAACTTGTCCTTTATGCTGGAATGTCATGTTATTGCTCACCAGCAACCAGTAACTACAGTATCTTCTCCTTGTCACAGCTCTCCATTGTGTAACCTCACAATCTACAGTGCTAGTGAGGATCTCTCCTTCACCATGAAATGGGCATACGGAGCTGTCCTTACTGTGCAACCTCTCTCTGATCATCTGAGTCCGACTGCTCAGGAGAACTGCACTCGCAGAAAAAGACACGCGGTCTACCTGCAAAAGAAGAAAGGCACCGGCTTTAAATAGCCCCTATATTTCAGTTCTTCTCATCACACACATGTTCATTGATTAGCAAATTTATATCAGATGGCACATACTAAAGACGTCAGAAGGGTTATGAGCACAAAGTGTAAAATGTGAAAATGTCTTTGCAATTTATAGATGTCAGTGGACAGTCACGCTGCAGTGGACAACTCTGGAACGTTTGAATTGGATTAATTAATTTCCCCTCTCTGGCCATTACTGCTCTGGAACAGACCCAGGAGGGAGGAGCTTTTGTGACTGGTCTGCCGGTGTCAGTCTGTGTGACTCTTAGCAAGACCTCTGGCCAACTGGCCCTTTTCTTCTTCAGGTTTTCTTATGGACCAATGGCTCCTGTACAGTACTTTCCGCCGTACAGTTAAGCAAAACTGCCTATGACCCAAATTGCTCTTTTCTGTTTTATTCTGTTGTAAAGAATCATACATACAGAGTGTTGCAGCACATCTTCAACCAGCTGCTTGATGACTCTGTTAGGAGGTGGCAGGACCGATGCTTTATGGTGCATTTCACAGGCTTCAAGAATGGTCTGCAGAGCCACCCGCTTGTGCGCCGTGTCTTCACACATGCTCAGTAACAGGCAATTCAAGTGGTCACTCAGCTGGATGGGCTGTACAGGAAGTCAAAGACAGCATAAGCACAGTCTTTACAAGGCGTGGGGAGCAAACTTTCTCGTAAATTGAAAAGCCAAGGGAGTTAGTGCCAGATTTACAGGGGGATGTCTAGACAGAAACCAAACTATTGTGTAGTAGCCGTCCAACACAACAGTTTAGTAACGTGTCATTGATTACAAATTGATCCAGCTATTGGAAAAACAGGTGGGAACTTTTTTTTCTCCAAAGAATGTGTCAAAGCCGCACAAACACTTAAAACAAATATCATTCCTAATGCTTTTTTTTCACCCATCTGTTTTCTAATTGTTTCTTCCAATTCATGGTTACAAAGGAGCTAGCACCCTTATCAACAAGCGACAGACACAAGGTGGGATACATCGTGGACAGGACACCCGTCCATCGCAGGGCAGACACACAGACACAGTCACACCATGGCCCACCTTCCCAGAAGCCAATCAACCTGCCAGTCGTTTTTTGGACTATGTGAGGAAACCCATGCAAACAGAGGGAGAACATACAAACCTTACACAGCTAGCACCCCGTGTCTGGAATTAAACCCAGGGCCCCCCTACTGCAAGGAAGCAAGGCTTATTGCCACCCCTAATCCCTTCCATGTACTCTAAAATGCAACATTAATTGAGTGGATTAAACATGAGCACTGCCCAAATTACAGCAAAGCACATAAGGATTCAGTGCCTAGTGTCGTGTTTCTATCTTGGAATAACAGGACCACGAAAATGCAAGCACTCTACCTGGTTCTGGGGAACATGGTAATCAGCAGACCAGTAAAGAGTCATCCCCAGAGAATAGACATGTACCTGTACAATAAACATGAGTTAGGAGGGCATTTGTGATCAGGGTCAGCACAAAAGACTCAGTACTAATGAAAATTATACATGTCTTTACCTCTGTTATCAAAAAATCTATTTTGACAATGTAATGACATGCAATGACTTTTAAAAAAGATGACTGTACAATAATATTATTGGAGTAAATAAGACATTCAGAATGAATCATTCATTGCTGAAATGCCATTATGTTAATTTTACTAAGTTATACAAAATAAATACAAAATGGATGATTCATTTTTAGTCTATATGTGGGTTATACGTGGGTGTTTCTTTTTATAGTTGTATTTTATTAATAAAAATAAATGTAGTCATATCTGAACTAAAAATCCCTGTTTACTGTGAATTATTAAAAAACTTTTGGTGTAAATAGACAATAAGCAATTCTTTATTCACTTTAAGTGCAAAACAAGTAGTTTTTTGGAATGATAATTGCCTACTGCTGTGGCAGCATGACAATAACCTATTTGTGAGGGGAGTGTGGGTGTTGTCATGGAGACAGAATGCAGTGCCAATCTTTTTATATCCCTCCCCTGACTTCCCTGAATGAATGGGAATGGCCAATGGACACCGGAAATCTTCAAGTCAAGCATGTGTAATTGCAAAACATATTTGAACATATGTCTGTGAAAATACAATACACTTTTGGAGGCTTTTAAAGCTCTCTTCACAAATTCTTCGACAAATTCAAATGTATTGGCATGTCTAACCTAAAGTGTTGGATCCTTATGTGTATTTAGTTAAATTTAACAACGTTATTGCATATTTTGGGCTTAAGATTAATTTATGATTAATTTAATACTTATACTGCAGAATTTGTATCATCTCAATTGGAAATTATATTTTTTTTTCCAATTTATTTTCACATCGATAGAAACCTATTGAAAAGACATGATACTGTTTGTCGTAAACTGTGTTTACCAAACAAAATAAAGCCAAAGTAGATCCCCTTTTGGACTAAAATCTATTATTTAGAATAGACTCTATTATTTAACTCCACATTATGCATGTCTATTGGTTCTATACATGCATCTGTATAATAATAATTTGCATTCCTTTTCAAATGTTTGAATGAAACCACAAGTTTAAAAAATATGCAAAAAAAAACAGAAATTCCTCCCCTTTAAATCAGCTTCCTGGTTGGTCAGTGAAGCCTGTGTACTGAATAGGAATCAAATGTTCTGATTTCTAGAAAAGTTCTTGGCAAAATACTTTGAAGTACAGAGCACAACCTGCTATGTACAGTTAAACATCATCTTGGCTTAATACTAACACCATTCTAATGTTGTTTAGGCTTTACTTCACCCTATAAAAATGAACCACGTAAAGTAAACATGTTAATTAAGATTTATTGAGATTAGGTTATTTAATAAAATTTAAATCCATCCATTTTCTAATCCACTTATCCAGTACTGGGTCGCGGGGTGAATAAAATGTGTGCTTTAAAAATCTGATCCATATACCGGACTTTCCAAAATGAAAGAAATGCTTAACACTAGAGGGCGCAGTGACCTGCCTTGTGCTTCATGAAAACTTACCTTGAAACCTCTGTATCTGAGATTTTGTAACATGAACTACAGCACCTATTTACAACCACACTCTATGCAATACAGTAAGAGAGAATCTGGAACACATGGAGGCATGGAGCTAATGATTTTCAAAGTCTATATTACAGCATACAAATGTAATGAAGTATTTTACAGTATGTTAAAAAGCAAATAGTATTGCAACATGTGATCAGTATAAATATGTTCACAGGGAAGAGTTAGTATTAGCAGCACTAATAATATACAGAGAATCAGAGTTTTATAATATCTCCTTAAAACTGAATATTGATTGAATGTCTTGACGCACATTCCGTATAGCAGGATAGTGTAGGATGAGTGTGTAGGATGTTCGATCTGTCATGATGGCCATGGTGTGAAAGTAGTGTCAGGATTTTTTCTGCTTTGAGTTTCTGATCTGAGAGACACAGGAGTGCGTTGGTTAGAGCTCAACTTCACAGATCGTGGATTCTGGGTTTGTTTCTAGACTGGAAGATTTCTGTGTAGAGTTCGCATGCTGTCCTGTGTCTCCGTGGATTTTGGCCAGGTGCTCCAGTTTTTCTAGTTTTCTCCCATCACCAAGGGGCAGGCCGGCTTGCATTACTGATGTCTCTGTTGGGTCCCCGTGTGCGTGTGCCCAGCAATGTGCCCTGTGTCCTGTGTCCCGTGTGTGATGTAGTCCTGATTTGTGCCCAAAGCATCTTGGGTAGGATCTAAGTTTCTGCAACCCTTTCCAGGAGAAAACAGATTTCTGATGATGGATGGGTATTGCAACAGTGAAATGTATTTGTTTTCAACTGGTGTCTATTGATTCCACATATTTTAATAAATATCAGTTTTAAATGATATTTTCCGTTCAGATATGTGACATCAGAAGCTTTTTGTTGTTAAGCTGGTAAACTGGTATGCTACTGGAACCTAAAAAGACAATACACACTCACCAAGTATCTAACCAGTGTGAGGGACAGCAAGGAGAAACACGGAGTGACCACAGCCTGGACATAGAAACTGGGTGGCACAGGCAGACCTGACTGCCCAGAGAGGACAGGCTGAACTCCCACTACCAGCAGGGAAAGGTGGAGACAGAGCTGAATTTGAATTAAAGGGACTTTAATAAACACTTTTTTCATTTTTTTCTCACCTTCTCCATTGCCAGTCGGGAGGAAAGGGCATGACCCTGGAGCAACTCTGGTGCCATAAATACACAGACCTCATCATTCAAGGTGCTGTTCTTAATAGCAAGACTTCCATTGGCTGAGAGGAGAAGTGACCCAGGACAGATGATACTGCAGACATTGTTGTGACCTAAAAAATGAAATAACATTTTCCATCTTAACGTCTAGCAATAATGCTTATAAATAACAGTGTCCTTGTGCATTTTCACAAATATTACTGCAACTATGGAACAAGTAAAGGTTAATTCCATGCTGAAAAGAGATGGGTGTGTGCCCTTTCACATCTGAAGAAGACTCCACAGCCAAAACGTTGTGTTTTTCTTCTCTTTTCAGAATGGAATAAACCTTTACTGTTCTTTTGCAGCCAACGCATGCTGACGCACCTCCCTACTTGAATTACTACAACTATGCTTTAGACTGATTCCGTACACTTTAAGCTTTACATTTAAAAATAGTTGTATTTTTATGTGGTACTATCATAAAAAAGACAATAGATACACATGTGCCTTGCTGCCTTGTCGTTTTATTTTATCGAAAGGAACTCATCACATACAGTAGCTGCGTCAAATTTGCAAAGCTATTATCAGGATAACTTCAACTTATTTTCTGGAGCAGGTGTATTGACATTGCATTGAGCAGATAATGGAATTGATCAACAGGAGGCCTATTATAAAATTCACAGGCTAGTAATGTGCGTGGCCACTGCAGGAAGATATACAGTCATCCAAAACATTGTCAAATCAGTGAGAAACGCTTTGTAGCAGGTTTGCAGGATGCTTTCTTGTGGAATTCTCTCCTGTTCCTCTTGGAGAGCTTGAACAAGCATGTGCCTGTTCACTGGTCCCTGAGCCCTATGGAATCCCAGTTTATCCATAACCCAACTGCTCCAGGGATGCTGTATTAATGGCTGACCCTGCGCTCTGACCCCAAACTTCTCTCCCTGTCTGTGTGTCACATGGAGAGCAAGTAGGGGTATGTGAAAAGACAAATTCCTAACACGAGAAATTGTATTTGAACACCTTGGTTATCCTCATTGAATGGTGTCATCTCGGGCAGGATTACAGAATGAGTAGAAAGGTACAGTAGATCCCAGAACCATCAGGGATCATCTTCTGTACACAAAACCTGGATTCAGCACTAAAGATGGCAGAGGTGTTGAGGTGTTGCTACAACATACCAATGGCATGAATGCACTGATCTCTTGATATTGGTTCTGTGCTTTTCTTTTTTAATTTTAACCAGGCTTGACATTCGTGAAATGAAACCTCCTCATCACCTGGTTCCAATCAGCTCTTTCATTAAAGAGGGTAATATGCTTATGCTACAGTCAAACTCACTTAAATGTATCACAGTCACTCATGTATAATTCATCCAAATGATGCCGAAAACATTTAAGCAATAATCCAAATCCATTACTTTCTAAAATAAAAAAAAAAACATCTGTTCCAGTGAAACATTTCTTCTGGTTCTCAGGATATTTAATCAGATAATAGGAGCTGTTTTTCTAGTAAGTAACAACCGTATCAATTTTGCAAGACATACTGTAGAGAGAATATACAGGATGCCGGAGATCTCCTACTTTTGTACTCCCTGGGGAAACTGTAGTATACTGATCCATTCATATTGATCAAAGGGCTAAAGGCACACTCCTCTGAGACGCTCGTACCTTCAATCCAACTAATGTGGACATGGGGGGGGTCTCATGAAACACTGACAACAAAACAGACACCAGCATGGCTTCTTACATGGTGCCCACTGTCCTTTCCCTCTCCCAGAAGTTTTCTGTTTGTTCTCCCCCAGGCATGTAGCACCTTGAAGTTGTGTTTTGAGCACTACGTCATAGTATTGGAAAGGGCTTTTGCTTCCAGGCTACAGTGAGGAGCATACAACTGACATCAGATCCCAATGGTGCACTGGGCTCGTGGATAGCAGTAGGTAGTGTTAGGAATTAGTAGTGAGGACCCTATGCAGAAAACCAGGGCAAACTCCAAAAGGCGTAGTTGACAGAACAACCCGAGGTCCGAAAGCCGTAGGTAAACTAGCCGGTGCAAAAGTACTAATAACCAGGGGCGGTGAGGAAGCCGAGAGTCAAAACCAGAACGAGAGCAAAGGTACCAAAACAGAAACCAGGAGACGTAGACAGAGAACAAGCCAGGGTCAGGAAGCTAAAAACCAAGTAGTAAATAACAATGAGACTGGGAGTAGCTCTAGCCAGGAAAACCCTAATACTGAACACCGGGAAGAGTGTGAGGAGGCACTAAATAGGCTGGGGAAAAGGGCTGATTGGGAACTGTGCTGGAATGTGAGGTGGAATGCCGATTCCTCCGGGGGCATGGCGTGACAGGTAGAGACTGGTCCCTCTCCTTGAGAGTGAATAACAGAGGTTGAGCTCATGTCACATTGACCCCATGACTTCTGTTTCCATTATAAACCATACGGCACTTTACGATATTATCCTCCTTCTACCTTGATATGACGCCTCCAGTAAAGACTCTGTTGTCCCCAGCAGCAGAGACCAGATGTCATCTTCCTCCAGCGGTCCTCCTCTGACCTCCAGCACTTCGGCCAGGGTCACAAAGGTGCTACTCATTCTGTGAAGGCTACAAAAAAGCAGTATGAACATCATTATACTGTATGGCTAGTGTTGAAGCTTAAGAACACAAACACATTGACATTTAGTATATTTAAGTACTATGTATAATTCTGGACTTGTAACTGGAAGTACTGTAGGTACCAAAAATTCCTAGGTGAGATATTTCTCTGGTACTCTTGAGCAAGGTACTTCACCTCAATTGTTCTGATAAAATACCCAGCTGTACAAATATTAGTAAGTTGCTTTGGATAAAAGCATCAGTCAGATCAATTTGCAGTACCCATGTCTGTCTAATTTTCTTCTCATATTTAATGGGGATATATTTTTCATATCATAATCTTGGCCATGTGGTAACATGCAGATGGTGTGTGGCATTGGATTTTATTTAATGACCTTTGACACCACTGCAATCTCCCTGATACTGGCAAAGTGAGAATTCTGGGTGGGCACAGAGAAACCCCTCGCTGTGATACTGCCAGGAGAAAGAGTTGGCAGAGTTGTCACTTGAGCTGTGTTGATTGAGAATTGACTCCACTGATCTCGGTCTAATTCATGAAACACAGGAAGAATCCATTCTGAAGAGCAATGGCCCACACGTGGTGATGTCAATAGAGTTGCAACATGTAACCTTGCTGGTTCAACATGCTCTTGGGAATAATTATGGCAAAAGGGAACAAGTGGGGCTATTATACAAAATTAAGCATCGTGTCATAAACAGAAATGTCTGAAAAGTGAAGATGGGCTGCAGACTGTAGAGAGCAGTTGCCACCATTAACTAGAACTTTGAATACTGGGCCCTCACCACATGAGACATGCTTTCAGAAGTCACAGGTTTCCCTAGATACAGAACTCAAACCTCTGCAATAGTATTGCTGCCTGTACTTACAGTATGTGGGCCTTGAGGCAATTTCTATTGGGCTGTCTGATAAAATGACATTGTAGCACAGCGATATAACACTGTGTATGCAGAGTAGTGGTTAGGGTATTGGACTCCTCACTAGAAGGTTTTGTGCATTTTCCACAAAGGTACTTGTAGAAGCCATGTTGTTGGAAATGATACCTTGGCTTCATTCAAGACACAGCAGGATGAGATCTTCAGGTTGGTTAGATACTATGGAACAGGCTTGTTGGTATCAATAGCCTCCCTCTGTTTGTAACTATTGTTATGTTTTTTCATTTGCATTTCCTTTGTTTCCAAGACAGTTTCCTAAAATTAATGTACAAGTCTTTTTGATATCTTGAATACAGTGTTTTATTTAATACTTCAGGTGATCTCAGTGTGATTACAGGTGACTTGTAAACGTTCCCAGTTTTAACGGCCTCATTTGCTTCCGGTACAGCCTTTTAAGCTGATGCTGAACTTCAGAAGGGAACCATTTAAACAAGGGATGTTAATCCAATGACTTAATAGCGCGAAACTGAAGCAGAAGCAAAGACAGTCTGATTCTGAAAAATGTCAGAGACTGTTGCTTTACAATACCTGGTTTATCTATAAAAGAATTTCTTATTGGGACTGCGGAATCGGAAGGAAATTCAATCTAGTCAGACACATTCCTAGATATACTGAACAGTGCCGCTTTTGTTTTGAACAGGCCTATTCAGTCTGATATCTGTGGTTCTGTAGGTTTGTGGGGCAAATCTAAGCCAAGTCTTAACAACCTACTAAGTATCACATACTGTGGTAAAAACAAAACATGCTTACTGTATGCTACCTAACAACACTGTACGCTACCTAACAACAGGAAATGAGGTTCTTACCTGGCTGTTCTGTATGTTATTTTGATTAATAACCTACAGCACAAGACAAAACAGTGATTAAGGGGAGGGTGCCAATGCAAAAGGCCATGCTAAACCCAAAAAATCACACTAAAGCACACTCAATACTTTCAAAAACATCATGCTGTAAAATAAACTGTTATTGTTTTACAGTTGTTTTAAATTACAAAATAAACAAACGTGTCTCCAGGGTGTATATGATGCAGGCGATATATACTATTTATATATTAGTGTGTCTTGCTGCATTGTTATGTACGGTATACAGTACTTTTCTCACAAAGATAACTTACAACACCTTACAACAGTTCTCACACAGTATTGTACTGAACTGCTGATCGTGACTTGTCACATTTGCATCAAGTCATGAAAGTACTTTGACAAGAGAAAATAGACCACATTTATATCATTTCATTGTTTTGTTTTATATATGGAAAGCTAAACCATTGTTTAAAATGCCCAGTTAAAATCGATAGTTCTCAATGCTGTTAGTCTCGGAAAGCGGGTTAGCTACTGGAGTAACAAAATGCGCTGAACAGAGCGAGCAACCCGAAGCACAGCAGTTTCTACAGACTCAAAACAGGATAAACACCATCCACACACTTTCAAAATGATTTAAAAAAAAATCCCTGCAACATACGGATTTCTAAAATCTGTTTTGAGACTCTTAAGAGATTTTCAGATGGGTTGGATAAAAAAACGTCCCAGCGTAGTAAATATCAACTTTTGGAACGGAAAGTCAATTACATAAAGATTTTGGTTTTTCCAAAGCAGGCTTTCAAAAAATCATTTCGCGACCTCGTTTTTGTCAATGCATCGCCAACGCTGGTGGGGTTGCGCGCATGATCCCTAACGTCTTGAGGGCACCCGGTTACCTGGTTTCTCTCTGTCTCTCAGGGAAGGATGTTGCCTTCAGGCTCTGCGCGGTTTGCGAGACGCCCCAGGCAGCCGCAGCCCGTCGCTTCGTTTACTTTCTGTCACTAAGCGCCGGGTCCTTCTGGCGGGCAGGTGACCTGGCGGCCGGCGCGGGCACGGGCACGGGCACGGGCGCTGCCCATGCCAAGCGCCAGAAGCGTCCTGCGCCCTCCTCTTCTTCCACCCTCCTCTCGCCGGACCTTTGTCGCGCTGGCTTGTTGGCGAATGATCGCAAACTTTTTTTTTCTGCCTTTTTCTTTCCGAAACTGGTCCTATTCTTAGACTCTCCAGCTATAAGAACTCAATTGGATTACTCTTGATACCTTGCCAAAGGCACAACCCAAGAGTATCAGGCGAGTCGGAGATTTCCGATCAGTCCCCAACGTAATCCGACGACGAAACTATTAAAATGCTAGAGAATATTGTGCAGGGTTCTAACCAATCTCAGAAAACGTTTTACGAACATAGGTTTTTGACAGTATAACCCTGCGTCCTGTTAACTGCGTAATATTAAAGGCAAAAACTTTACATACCAAACGCAGAAAAATGCGTCACAGGGATTGTTAATTTAGATGTAAACTTGAATGGGAGCTATTTGGTTGTGCGTCAGATCTGAATATGCCCTTTTATCGCTATTTTACTTATTTACATTTCGACACCAGATATCCATATAAAGTACTATAATCCTAAAGGACCAATAAGATGACATAAGATAAGATCACTTTATTGGCCATATACAATTTCTTGCACTAGGAATTTGTTTTTTTCAAAAAAAGAGAAGCTTGGGGTCAGAGCACAGGATACAAAGCAGCAACCTTCCAGCCACAGGCACAGATACTGAGCCACAGAGCCCCTGCACTGCACCGCACTGAAGCTGCTGTTCTGTTTTTAAAGCTATTTTAATTTAAATAGGAAATAAAAAAGTAATATTTTGGAAGTTTAGAGATTAATTAACTGCATTTTCCCTCATTCACCATGCTGAGTTTTGTACACATGCCACACCTTGGGTAGTGCTCCATATATCTCACTAATCAGTAGTGCTCATGAATGAAGTAGTGCTCTTGAGCATGAACGGTCTGTGCACAGCTCACCCCAAGCAGCAGTAACCCCCAGGACATGAGCACCTGGCTGCTGCACTTCCTAAGGCTTCATTCCAGAGAACTGCCCCATAAACTCCACACCCGGGCCTCAGCACAGCCCGTAACCCACCCCCAGCTCTGACTGCACCTGGGTCTGAGCACAGCCCATAACTCACCCCCAGCTCTGACTGTATCCACACCAGCGCCTGAACACAGCCCGTAACCCACTCCCAGCTCTGACTGCACCTGGGCCTGAACACAGCCCGTAACCCAGTCCCGGCTCTGACTTTATCCACACCCGGGCCTGAACACAGCCCGTAACCCACTCCCAGCTCTGACTGCATCTGGGCCTTTTTTTGCCATTGTGCTCTACAGGGAAACAAGAGAGGTCAGGAAACAAACAGCAGAACTCTGGGCAGCAGTGTGGAGCGGGTGAGAAGCTGCTGATCTTCCCTTGACCCAGGTACTTCGCCCGAATTGCTCCAGTACCTGGGTCAAATCTAAGGTTCTAAGTTGCTTTGGATAAAAGTGTCAGTTATAGAAATGAGCAACTACAGTGAGGCGGTTGCTTGTTGAGTACCTTACTCTTCGTGTTTATTCACTACATGCCAGTCATACAGTAAAACCCTCAAACGTCAATGGCTGGACAAGTGAGAATCTGTAGCAGCCATGTCACCCTGCAACTCACAACAGGAAACCCAGCGGAGCTCGGCAGGTGTGAGCCTGGTCAATACCTGGAGGGGAGACTCCTGGGAAAGCTGAGGTTGCTGCTGGAAGAGGTGTTCGTGGGGCCCTGCTCACCCTGCAGACTGTGTGGTGTAACGTAGCGTTCTATCAGGACCCTATGCTGACAACACAATCCGGGGGGAGTGATGAAAACATGGGGGAAAAGGCATGCAAGGGGCTGGAAGGAAAATAGGGGGCGTGTCCACGGTGCGCTGGTGTTCGGGGGAGGTGTGGCCGAGGCAAACAGTCCAAAGGAGTCCGAGGCAAATCCGTGGGTGGCAATAGATCAAGACCGGGTGATCCATCCTGACGAAGACTAACAAAGTTAAGAGCTGGAGCAGGATCCTGCTGAGTGACGGGGGAATAAAAGGGGGTAACGAGACCAGAAGCTCCCTAATCATGGACTCAGAAGGTCAGGGCGCCGTGATGAAGCCTGTGCCGTCGAGTCGCTCCCAGACTCGCGGGTAGGCGGGCTTCCGGGCATCCATCTTCCAGAGCTGAGCCCCGATTGGCAGGAACGCCTGGATTTATAGGACGGGGGCAGGAACCGGAGGCAGGTGCAGGAGATAAAGAATAAACAAGGAAGGGCTGGAGCGTCCTTAAGAGGAGGGGTTTACGAGCGTGACATGTGGGTTCTAATGCCCCAGTATAGTGATGGAGACGCTATACTGTCAAATCAAATCAAAGTTTATTTATCAAATGCACAACAATACGGCGTGCAGCAGCAGTTGCTGGCAATGAAATGTCTTTTCTGCAAGCTCACAAGAATCACAAGAATCGCAGAAATTACAAAAATCACAGAAACACAAAATTGAGGTTATGAAAATAAGGTTACATAATAATAGATGTAATAGAAACGGAATAAAACTCAATATGAGTAGACCTGCTATGTGTCCATGGTGTATGCGATATATACAAGTACTGCCGTTATGCTGAATACAGTGAAAACTGTGTGTCCATGTAGACATTACAGGTGATTTGCGAAAGGAGCTGCAGGTTGGCTATTTAGCCATGCCTTGATATGCCTTGTAATTGTGTAATTCGGCTGCTGTTCTCACTGTGTGCTATTATTACTTATTTTAATATGTATTATTATAAAATACTATAATTTCTAAAAAAACAAGACGTCCATATGTAAAAACACATTTCAGTCACTTAACAGGAGTTAACAGGAAGTCGATGATTTAATTTGTCGCTTTTTTGGTTGTTTTCGTAATTCAGCCCCCAAGAAAACCTGTTTTAGTTATGCTGTATATATAATATATATATAGATGTGCTGTATATATAATAAGTTATAGCGGTCATAACAAGCACGACCTATGGCGCCCATTGGACTGCTTTGTGAGAAACGGCTGTGAAGGCGTTAGACACGCAGAAACCGATGACATCAGAGCCGCGCAGAGATTACGTGACGTATCACGCAAGTCTCTTGCAGTGCTAGGCCTGCCAGCGAAAGGAAACGCAGTGAATGCTGAGTGTTTGTGCTTGAGAGGCGAAAATAGCAATAATAAGAGAAAGAAACGTTTGTCGTGGATGTGAACAGGCTGGCGTTGAATAGTGAATTGACGGAGAAGAGAAACTGCACACATATTTTTTCGAGAAGGTAAGGAAGGGTTACAGTTTTTTTAAGACATGTTTTGTGAAGGAGTGGGGGAGGGTGTCTCAAACAGAACAAAATACAGTAGGTATTTTTTTTTATTCCAGCCCTAATTGTACGTGCGATGTATTTTAATAAGGTCTATAGATATTTAATTGCCTACACCGCTTAACATGTCGTTTTCCTGCTCAACCTGGTTTGCCTATTGGTCATATTTTCGCAGTTTCATTAGAAAGAGGGATTCCCGTGGTGTAAGGTAACTGGGCAATTTCGGTAACAAAACACTATTGTCATAGGCGTCAGGCATTCCACATGGTCTGAGTTTTCATCTGCGATTTGCGATGTGATTGTTACTTTTTGACGTCTAGCTTGGCAATCAAGCGTGCACGTATATCCCTTTAAACGCATTACAGTACACAAGATTCGTGCTCAGTGTATAGGTGCTACCGATGTCACTTGAAGTCCATATCCTGGCCAGTGTGAGCGTTATGTATTCGTGTTATTAGTGTGCAGATCCTCGGGGGTATGTTGCTCGGTGTCTAATGCCTTCAAGAAATGTAACGCGTTTTATGGATTTTGGGGACACACTCGAGGTTTTGTATTCACAGGAGTATATGGTCAGCGTAGCCCAAATGGTCAACTGTTGTGTTCTTTTTGAGATTTTCGTCGATTCTGTTTTCTGAAACATTGCTGTTTTTACGAGAACAGAAGCAAGTTTTCATGGGCCAATGATGCCGTTTTATCACATAAGCAGGTGTTTATCCATGTTTACTGTTAAAGCTCGATCATATAGCTTTTGCTTTTGTTTTCCTGTTGGTCGTTTTCACCATTTCCTAGTCTATTCAGAAAAGCAAAGTGTTATCCGTGAAGCCTTTGGGTAACATTGCTGTTTGCATATGATGTCATGAGTGTATATTTTTACATTGGATTTTGTCGTTGTGTAGTTACTTCTCCATCTTGGATTCTATATACTGTATGTATGCAATGATCTGTGTGTATAAATGCCCAAAAGGTTTCCTTTTCTATATTGACACAAAATCAGACTACATATATAAAGGAACAAGTAGAGGTCAACCCCACATTTAAAAAACAAATCCACTGCTAAAAATCAGAAAGGAGAAAACACAACATTTCCGGTGTTGAGCCTCTCAAGGTAGGGAGAAGAGAGGGTACCGAGATGATTAATTAAGCAGAACAAATTAGAAAAATCAATAGCTGCCCCTCTCCCCTTCAGTCTGTTCCTCCAGGAGTGGGATCTGCCAGGGATGCAGTCAGAGCTGGGGACGGGTTACGGGCTGTGCTCAGGCCCGGGTGCAGTCAGACCTGAAGGTGGGTTACAGGGTGTGCTCAGGCCCGGGTGTGGATGCAGTCAGGGCTGGGGGTGAGTTATGGGCTGTGCTCAGGCCCGGGTGTGGATGCAGTCAGGGCTGGGGGTGAGTTACGGGCTGTGTTCAGGCCCAGGTGCAGTCGGAGCTGGGAGTGGGTTACGGGCTGTGTTCAGGCCCAGGTGCAGTCAGAGCTGGGGGTGAGTTATGGGCTGTGCTCAGACCCAGATGCAGTCAGAGCTGGAGGTGGGTTACGGGCTATGCTCAGGCCCAGGTGTGGAGTTTATGGGGCAGTTTGTTGGAATGAAGCCTTAGGAAGTGCACCAGCCAGGGCCTGGGGTGAGCTGTGCACAGGCCGTTCATGCTCAAGAGCTAGGCATTCTTGAGCACTACTGATTAGTGAGATATATGGAGCACTACCCAAGGTGTGGCATGTGTACAGGGCCATGTCTCCCAGAGGACATGGCCTCTTGGGGTGTGACATGTGCAGGGCACTACCTCCCTGAGTGCACTGCTCCCCTGGAGTGTGTGTGGAACAGTGAGGTGTGTCTGTGGGCTCTGGGAGCCCTCCCTCCCAGAGTGCACCACCTTCCAGAGTGTGGTGTGTGTAAGGGGCCATTTATCCTAGAATGCACCACCTCCAGGAGTGTGGCGTGTGTGAGCAACCTTGTATCCAGGAGTGCAACGCCTTCAGGAGTGTGGCGAGCGTGAGGGGCCGTGTATCCTGGAGTGTGGCGTGTGTGAGGAGCCGTGTATCCCAGAGTGCACCACCTCCAGGAGTGTGGCGTGTGTGAGGGGCCGTGTATCCCAGAGTACACCACCTTCCAGAGTGTAGCAGTGTAAGGGGCCATTTATCCCAGAGTGCACCACCTCCAGGAGTGTGGCGTGTGTAAGGGGCCCTTTGGTGCCAGAAGGTTTCCTTGTCCAGGGTAAACACGCCTGTTTGAACCAGTCTGTTTGCCTGTGTCTCTCTGTACATGGGGTTTGCATGTCTTTCTGGTGATCACAAAAGTATCCATAATAAAAAAAAAAATCCTCCATTACCTTGCCGGTATCTGGCAGAGATGTGGAGTTTGCACTCTAACATTCCCGATTGGATAATTAATCAGTGAAAAGACTGTTGGTTTGACTAGGTAGGTACAGTTAATTAGTAACTCATGGTTTGTATATGTAGTAATATTAAGTATGTAGTAATATTAGGCCTTTTTATGCATTATTTCTAAAGGTTTTTAATTTGCTTATGCTTTTGGCTGTTATCAGAAAATGCTCTGGCAGCACTTGATAAATTTAGGAAGCGGAAATCTGGCAGCTCTGGAGTGCACAATATCAGTATGAAGTATCTACTCTGTATCATTGTTGTCTTTTCTGGCAAATGTCATTCTGTTTAAAAGCATCGGAAGTTGAGCCCGATTGTGTGGAGCCTGACATTGTCTTTGAAAACTGGATAGGCTTATTTTGTATTGTATTACGCTTAGACTGGTAGGTATTCTTACACCAATGTCTTTTAGAGTTTGAAGGGGAAGAGTGTTTTTTTCCTCCTGGCGCACTTTTTTTGCATAATGGTTGTTTGATGTATTAAACACCTCTTCGTGTGAGTCATCCTGTTGTATGTACAACCGTTTAGGCTGTGGCATGCCAGGGCTGAGGTGGAATGGCTTCTAGGGGTAGAGACAGCCTGGTTGCACTCTGTGGCTCACTGCTGGGAAGGGTGCCGTAGCAGATAACAGATTGTTTGGCTTCTTAAAGCAAGGGGACTAATTGAGAAGAAAGTGTGCAAAGGTCGAGGAAGGGCTTCTGTACTGTGCATTATCCCCTTGAGAGAGGTAAGACAAAGCTGGCGGTTTGGTTTATGAGTTGTTTTCCCAACTGTGTGGAACAGGCAACCATTTTATTTTTTTAACATTTCCATGGGCAAATACTGTACATGGGATGCGGTATTGGAATACTGTACTACCACAGTGGGAAATTGATCTTTTTTGATTTGTCTAAGTGGTAGTATTTGGACACTAAAGGTTGCTATATCTCTGATGGGTGGAATTTGTCATTCTGTCTATTAAGAATTTGCCTACTTAGAAGAATTACAAATGTTTTGTTCTTTACTAATCGCCAAGGAAAACTGATCCTTAACTTTCATACCTCTTTAATGGAGAACTGTCTATTCATGCACTGCCTGTCATACAATTACATATCATCTTTTTTGACCTTTCACTCTTGAGATTTCTGTAGCCATATCATGGCTCTGATATCATCCGTCTTGTGCCGTTTTCTGTGTCTTCTGACCTCTTACAGAAACTCACATTGTCTTCAAGACAATTTTAGTATAAATCTATCTGCATTCTTTCTAAACACCCATCCTTCCCTTCCTTCAAAGTCTGCAAACTTATTGTATTTTGAGTTCTGCTTTATTTGTTGACGCTTCGCCTGCATTGCCTATCTCTGTCTTTTCCATTCGGCGTTCAATCTCCATCACTTCCGCGGCTGAGAAAGAAAGGCGCTTTCTGGGCCCTTTCCAAGTGTCCCTTTCCAAGTGCCCTTTCCAAATCCTTGCAGGACCGTGAGACGTTAATTTAAAGCTTCTCTAATACCAAATCTGCATTGCACTGCAGAGGGGGGTAAAGATTTTCCCATCTTTTTTTTTTTATCTTCTTTTAGGTCCCGAGTTGAAAGTTTCATTTGGATGCCCATAACAAAATTTGTCAGGACCTCAACATGAACAGAAATAAGCGCGAGAAGGAATACTACAGTTTAGATGTTGGCGACTCAACATTTACCGTGTTAAAGCGCTATCAGAATTTAAGACCTATTGGCTCAGGGGCACAGGGAATCGTCTGGTAAGTTATGAGGTTTAACTGCAGTCGGAAACTGGTGCATGAATTGTGCGAATCAATTCCAGATTTGTCACCTTTACCTCAGCTTAGTCACCAGAAAGCCTAGCAGCAGCAAGACCTTGCTGCCAGGTAATACTTGCACAGATGACCTCAGAATGATGCTCACTTTGCACTGTGAGAAGAGGGACTGTGCACAAGAATATGCATAATGTGTAGCTTTAACCATTCTCTAAGAACAGTGATACCTTTATTTTCCATGTGCAATGTTTTGTATATTTGTAAATATTTCCCTATTTTAAGAGATTGTAATAAACAAATCCCTTGAGTTTGGTTAACTGCGTATGTGCCTGTTCCCGTTTCATTTTTTTTTTCCCTTGAATCTTTTCAGCTCAGCCTATGACCACATCCTTGAACGAAGTGTTGCTATCAAGAAACTCAGTCGGCCTTTTCAAAATCAGACCCATGCGAAACGGGCTTACAGGGAGCTGGTGCTCATGAAGTGCGTCAACCACAAAAATGTACGTTTCTGCTGTCCCGAAAGCTGTCGGTTTTGTGCGTGGAAACGGCAAGGAAGATGTGTATTATTGTTATTGTTTGTTGGGGTCACGGGTAAGGCTCTGGACTTGCAAGCTGAAGGTTGGGGGTTGAGATCCCAGACAGGGCACTAGTGAGGTGCTCTTGAGTAGGGTGCTGTGCTCAGACTTCTCCAGTAGAATAGCCCAGCTCTGTAAATGGGCACAAGTCTGAATTAATACTATTATACTACAGTATATACCAGATATTGGATGTTACTTAGTTTAAGATATGCTGTTATTTTAAATAATGGAAAGGTTAGAAGTGATCTGGGTTCAGAATCCAGTCCCAAGCTTACAGTTGTTCAGGATTATTAATTAAAGGGGCAGGAAGCAGGAATCTTTTCCGATTTCACCTGTGTATATTGACTGTTAATTGGCTACCTGCGGGGAGCTTTGAAGTCGGATTTATGGGATGACAGTTTAGATAGAGTAGCTGGTAAAGACCTTAATATTATGAGCACTGTTAAAGCAATTGTGGTATTCTAGAACATTAAATATCTTTTATGTTTTACAGATAATTGGATTGTTAAATGTTTTTACACCTCAGAAATCTCTTGAAGAATTCCAAGATGTGTGAGTATTTTCTAACACCCTGTTAAAGCTAATGTGTTTGCTGTTCAGGGTGTATAACATAATAAATAGTTCATCAGTGGAGTTCTTTCACATATGCATATAGTGTATGAAGTCAACTAATATGATTAAGAAAAATATACTAGTAGTAATCTCTCTTTTTCTATTAAATTGTTTGTTTCTAATTTTTGCAGTTGATAATAGGAGCCATTAATTAAAAAATGTAAACTTTCACTGTCCTGAAATACATGAGTGTTCCTTTTTTTCAAGCTCTCTGCTCCTCTCAGTCTCCCCCCTTGAATAAGAGAAAGCCTGTTAGCAGTCTAGCTGCCGCAGGTAGAAATATGCAGTTGAAAGCTCAGTTTGAGGCGAGGGCAGTTAAATGAGCGTCTCAAATCTGGACCTGTAGGAATAACTCTGACCGCTATCTCAGAACCCAGGATGTTGAATAACGAATGCAATTAAACTGAACCTTCTGGGAGGCTCTCCAGAGAATGATATTAATATGTTCAGGATGTAGTATGTTTAATATTTGCTTATAAATGTCCTAAAATTTAAGCAAACTTGAAATTGTTAATAAATCAGAATAGCATTGTTGTTGCTACAAATTAATTACAATTGTGTCTTGTAAAGAAACCCTTATTTTTCAAAGGTCCATTTAGGATAATTATCAGAGTTTTGAACATAGATTCCTTATCTATAATGCCTTATTGTGGTCAAGCCCAAAATTAAGTTAGTGAACTTTTCTGGAGGTCTGGGAGCTTTACAAGAAAAAGAAATCACATTGTGCTATGGTTTCTGACCGTACATTTCTTTTTTTGATAACCCACGTTTTGATGAATTAACATTTTGTGAAAGATGAGGAAATGTTGGACTGTAGGTCTTCCTGAAACAAAGATAGCCCTAATCATTACGCTAACATAAGTCATGTGAACACTAACCGTGGTAACATCTCTTTACTGTTGATGGCAGTTATCTTGTGATGGAGCTGATGGATGCAAATCTCTGTCAAGTGATTCAGATGGAACTGGACCACGAGCGATTGTCCTATCTACTCTATCAGATGTTGTGTGGAATCAAGCACCTTCATTCAGCTGGAATTATACACAGGGTGGGCCATATGAAGTATTCTTCTTTTTTATTTAATGCTACTGGTTTTCCTTGTGCATTTGTAGATCTAGGAGCTAATTTTCCCATTGGCCCTTACCAGTCATGGCCTCCTAATAATCCCCCTCTATGAATTGTCTTCATTACTCTGCTCTCCTCCCCACTGATCGCTGGTGTGTGGTGAGCGTTCTGGCGCACTATGGCTGCCGTCGCATCATCCAGGTGGATGCTGCACATTGGTGGTGGTGGAGGGGAGTCCCCATTACCTGTAAAGCGCTTTGAGTGGAGTGTCCAGAAAAGGGTTTCTGTTTTCCCAGTGTTTCCGTTGGTGTTCTCCGGGTATTCCTACTGTCCAGGTTAATAGGGCATCTCTAAATTGTCCCCATCATATGTGTGCCCTGTGATGGACACACACACCTGGGCATCTTGAGTGTAGTCCTTACTCCTAGTGCTGTTGGTTTAAACTCAGGATCCTGGCTGCCCACTGAGGATCAGCCATGTTCCTTGGCATGGATGTTATTGATACAGCACTTGATCTGTAAAGCATCCCTTCCACTCAGCACTCATAAGCATTTCACTGCTTTTGTGCAATATGGCAAATAACCTGAACTGAATACATCTTTATAGTCTGAATGTTAAATGGAATTGTCTTCATCTCATTGAAATTTCAGTTGCTGTGCTCCTGTGAAGCACAAGTGTGTCTATATTCCATTTTCAGCTCAACTTAGTTTCATAATTAGTAATAATAATTAGTTTCATAAACTTAATGTGCAGGAGTAGACAGGGTTCTGAAGGAGTAACTAGATTGGTTTGAGTTTCTAATCCTATATGGGGCACTGCTGTTGCACAATTCAGCAAGATACTTCACTCTCAGTGCTCTTATTAAAATGCACATTGGTTTGGATCAAAGCATCAGCCATATTGCATTTGTAATGCAATTTCATTAACAGCAGGGGAAATGTGTCTGTTTGGATTGAAAATTCATCAATAGATCTAAAAGGGTGTACAATTAAACGGGGAATTCTCAGGTTGGGGGAATGTAGTTTTGTGGAGTGCCAATGGGATCTATGGTGGGACCACTTTTCAGTTTCTCTATAGCAATAGTGGAGATACTGATATAATTAGTGAACTTGTCAAGTTTGAAACTAGGAGGATTAGAAAACTATTGAGGAAGCAGATTAAATACAAAAAAAGATAAATTAAGACTAGATTAAAATTAAATAAAGACTAGATAAACTTCTGGCAGATACTATATTATATGGATGAGAGCAATATTACATGCAACAATCTATACATTTAAAAAACTTGAATGTTTTTACTCAAAGATGTATTTCTGTTGACATTTACATTTGGACAGTGGGGAAGTAGTTAAAAAGCAAACAATGTTAAGATTTATAGCTAAAAGCATATTGAAGTTATGTGAAAATTGTACAATACACTATTACAAGCACATATGGAATATTTTGTGCAGTGCTGGTCTCCACGTCATAGAAAAGATTGGTGCTCTGGAACCTGGAGCTGAACCTTTTTAGTCTTGAACAGAGAGGACTGAGTGAAATTGATCCAAGTGTTCAGAATCCTCAAAGGCCTACAGTCAACCCAGTGAAACCTGAACCAGAGGAAGTGGAAGTGGAAAGTATGTGGAAGTGATTTTTAAATTGGGGACAGCATGCTCGTCACTACACAAAGAGTTGTGGGAGTATGGAACAGGCAGCCTAGCTATGTTGTTGAAGCTGATACACAGGCTTCTACTGCATGTTACCTACGAACTGTAGTCTACAAGCACCAAATGGCCTCTTTTTATTTGTTACCTCTCTTATGTTCTTGTGTCCTAAGAACAAAGTGTGTTCACCATGAGTAAAAGATAAATAAAAGAACCTCTGGTGGGTTTTTACCAGTCAGCCGCCCCAGGTGTGGAAAGCAAGCAAGATTTTTACTGCAAATAGGAAATCAAGTTCTGCTTTTTTTACAATTTCTTTTCAAATTAAACTGAATATCCTACATCAAATGTTGCCATATTCATAAAGTGTGCAAAAATCTGATTATAAAGTTCAAGAAAAATGAATTACAGGTAGGTGGTGTAGTCCCAGTCTAGGACAGCTCATTCTGACATCAAAGACTATTAAACTGGTGACACTGCTGGCTGGGTGATTTTCTGTCATTGTAATTGCATATAACGAATGAATTTAAGGCCAAGAGTTTAATTATGGCGACCTTGCTGATTTTCTTTTCTTGTTTCTGTATTTTCCAGGATTTAAAACCAAGTAACATTGTAGTGAAGTCAGACTGCACTCTGAAGATCCTTGACTTTGGCTTAGCCAGAACAGCAGCCACGGGCTTATTGATGACTCCTTATGTGGTGACGCGCTATTACAGAGCCCCAGAGGTCATTCTTGGAATGGGATATCAGGCAAACGGTCAGTAATGACAGCTCACTTTGAATGCAGAAACGTCTTGCCTTGTGCATGCGTAGATGGAAAGATGCACATTTTTTTGGACCCTCTTGGAAAGTTAGACACACCCGATTTGCCAGAGCTTGTTCTACTACCTGCTTCACCGCAGTGTTGATTCCATAGATGTTTCCCAATATATTTGTTGTTTCAAACAAGAATAAGTATTAACACAGTCACTCGTGCATGTTCCACCTCACTATTAATGTGCCTGCCATTAACATCTTTTAACATTTTTCGCAAGAACGATTAGGCTGACGTGTATTTTACTTGATTTTTTTTTTAATAATTAAAGAGTGGCTCCAACTTTTTTGACTACTTGTGCGAAACGCATCTGCTTTTTAGCTAACCTTTAAAAAAAAAAGGCACACTTTTTATTTTTTAACCAAAAAGTTTTCCTGCTGACTTGTTGCTTTGCTTATGTTTTTCCCCTTTCCTTCTATGCTACATACATTAGTGGATATATGGTCTGTGGGGTGCATTATGGCAGAAATGGTTCGCCACAAAATCCTTTTTCCTGGAAGGGACTGTATCCTTACACTGCTGGCAGCAGTTGGGTTGAGTGACCGAGTTTATCAAAGTCACAGGTTTTTACAAAAGTGACCCAAGTGAAAGAGTAAAGATTCAAATTTCATCTCAATTGTTTTGATTTTAAAATCTACCTAGCGCTGTGTTAGGGTTGGAAATGAATGGACGTCCGGCAAGTTGCATTCCCCCTGGCAATCAAAATTATTTTCTCTGCTCCTGCTGGGAATAATTGAAAGAACCAAAATAAGCAAGAGGACTCGATTGAAAACGACAACATGGAATTTGAAATTACTCTTTAATAGTTTTAAGTGAGCACAGAAATGGAGTAAATATTCTTGAGTTATACGAATTACATTTACACAGGTAAGAGTATTTTTATTGTAAGAAATGATGCAGGCTGCAGTTGATAACGGGACATACAGTCTCTGCTGGCTTCTTGAAAACACTTGACCACTGTTACGTGTTCATGAAGGCAGTATGGCCACTGTGCTGCTGGTAGTGACCTGCTCTCTCAAAACCTTGCTTTTCCAGGCTAATTATAAAGCTTCATTCCAGCAGGCGAAATCAGATCTTATACTAGCAAGGTCGTAAAATGAATATAGTTCAAATATTAAACTGTCTTTTAGCGCCTATCAGTATGATTACAGACATACTGAGAAGTGCACTTGGGAAAGAGACAAAAATAAAGAGGCAAAGTACTAGTTATGTTGACTGAATTTGCTTTGAGAGAGAGAATCTGTTAACTAAATTGCTGACTTTAAATTCTGAATTTGCAGCCTGTGTGTATTTTAAAGAGCAGCGGTAGGCACTGACCAGTGGATTTATGAACCTGTGTAAATACTGTCTAGAGGTTTGAGTGGGGAGCTGTGTCAGCGAGTGCTGGCTGCAAAGGAACAAGTACAAGTTGTGAACACGACTGTTAAATCTTCTTACAGAAAGAAGTTTCTTCTGTTTATCAGCGTGGAAAATAACCTTTACTTGTTCCTAAATAGTGTCTGTACTCATGCATAGGTTTCGATCATGAGTGACAGTTTTTTTTTTCCAAAAGTACTTTAAATTTCTTTCAGTAATTAATCTGTTGCATCATGCAAAAACCTATCGTATGTATAGGTTTTTTTATGCATTTCTGCGATCATAATACAATTTCTACAGGCCTTTTGTGTCCGTGTCTAGCTTGTATCTATGACCCGTTTATCTTAATTACACTCTGCAGCACCGAAATGTGTCCTTTTGGAACCAAGACTTATCACATTTGTCTGGCAGTGAATACATTTAAAAGAAGAGTGTTGAAAAACCTTGTTCTTAAGTAAACTTTGCAAACCTTACCGCTGGACACCGACACTGCGGTTGCATGCTATTCATTTATATGTGTTTTATCCATTAAATTCCCATCACTCTCTCTTTATTTTTTCCTTTTTTGTTGTTTTGTTTGTGTGGTTCTGCATGTTAATTTCATGTCATTTCATTTTTCAGTTGATGTCTGGTCAATTGGCTGCATCATGGCAGAAATGGTCAGAGGTAGTGTGTTGTTTCCTGGCACAGATCGTATCCTTCCCTGTATTTCATAGTCTGTTCATCCTGTGTCTGTACCACCAGTTTCCCGGAACACCTGGCAGTGTTTCTTTGGGAATGCAGTGCAACAGAATCCAGGCATGGGTCACCTCGGTAACCTAGCAAAGACAATAGGATCGCAATTCATCGCTGATCATTGAAGTCCTGTCTGTAGCTGGTTTGAATTTACAGCTGACAGAATCCCAGAGGAATGTTTGACAGCACGTTCGTTAAGAATCAAAGACGAGGTTATGCAGGGCAGGTTTTTTACGCACTTACATGTGTTATGTGCAAATGGGGTTAAACTGTTTGCCATTCAGAAGGGGACACCTTTTATCTTCAAAATCTACACACACTTCTAGCCTAGCTATAGTAATGTATTATGACTTCCAGGCTGTGCTGCATTGTTTCTTTATTCACATTGACTACTACCACTATATCCCTGGCACTATTATGGCACTTTCTGGACACTCCACTCAGTTTAAAATCACTTTATTAGCCATATACATTGTCTTGTATTAGGACCTTGTCTTTTCGCATACCCCTAGTTGCTCTCCATGAGACACACAGACAGGGTCAGACAGAGGCTTGGGGTCAGAGTGCAGGGTCAGCCATTTATACGGTGCCCCTGGAGCAGTTGGGGTTAAGGGCCTTGCTCAGGGGCCCAATGCAGTAGGATTCCTCTGCCGGCTGCAGGATACGAACAGGCAACCTTCCAGCCACAGGTGTAGATCCTTAGCCACAGAGCCACCGCACCACAAAGAGCTTTACAGGTAATGGGGACTCCCCTCTACTACCAGCAATGTGCAGCCCCACCTGGATGTTGCGACGGCAGCCATAGTGCACCAGTACACTCACCACACATCAGCTATCAGTGGGGAGGAGAACAGAGTGATGAAGCTAGTTCATAATTGGGGATTATAAAGAGGCCATTATTTGTAAAGACCTAGACCAAGTGTCCATAAGTTGAAGCCCATGGGTGGTGTGGGTGGGACAGAGAGGTATGGTATACTGTGGTCTTGGTGTGCTGGATGATTTAAAAATTTTACTGAGACAGTAGAGCCCCACCTGATATTGCACAGAATAAGGATACAATCGGAATGGTTAACTACAATCGGAATGATTAACTACAATTATCTGAACATTTCTTGTCTGTGTCCTGGTGCCTAAAGACTCCTGTAACTTATAAATTTCACCCAAAATACGATTTGGAGATCTTGACTAGTTAAGCTTTGTTGAATCCTTAATTGAACCAACTGCTTGAGTTTTCATTTTCATTTTCTGCCTCGTCTAAGCTTCAGCTCTAATCTTTTATGTGCATTAGTTCTGAAACCGTTGCAGATCCTCACTTCCACTTTTCAAAATGTAGTTTTCCAAAACCCTTCTACATAACTCACTGGCTGTCAGTGACATGTAAACACAGGTGGGATTGAATGATTGCATATGCTTTATAAACGTTCTTACAGATCTACAGACTCGTTTAATTTCCTTGTTGAAACCATCTAAAATGAGAGTAATTCTGAAACGGTTTAAACAGTTAATGTAGCAATTTTAAAAAGCAAAATGGGTCCAGGAAAAGGTTCAATTAGCTCTGAAAAAGCTTTCAAGATTACTTGGAACACAAATCAGAAGGTACGGGGGGTTCTCCAGGACACAGATGAGGAAACGCTGCACTATTGTAACCATTCATTTCACCACATATTCTAAATGCAACACCTGAAGCATCAGAGCCACAAAGAACAGGAGCAAGAGGTGATGGATTAATCTTCTCCCTGATTCAGTTCCATACACCAGGCAGGCAGCTAAACGTGAACATGAATGTGACGTATAGTTCTCATGTTGTGTGAACTCCTGAGTTTAATTGTTAATGCCACAAACTCTACCTCCAGGGTGGTAATGATATGAATCATTCACCTTTTTAACAATATGTTTTATTCTAGCAATATAGATTGATGCGATACTCCCAAAGTACGGGTGCTTACATTTTCAGAATTATAGGGTTTTGGTTCCAGTCGGCATGTCTGAAAAGTAGCATTTTTGTTCTTCATAGTTTGAGAACTTCAGTGCAGTCATCTGCACACTGATACCACTGACCAGGCAGTTGAGCTGAGGGCTCCAGGAATGGAGTGTCAGAGTCTTGCGACGTATGTACCTGCGACACTTAGCCTCATCGTCTTCTCTGTGATTGGTCACGTAGTGTGGGCAGAAGAGCTCCGGTGTTGGAGGGGCACGAGGGTATTTGTCTTTATTCATGGGTCACTGTTCAAAAGCTGTATTTATTATTTTTTTCCCCCCTTTGTTTATTTCTTTTGACCTGTGTTGTAGCTGTGGGTTCTGTGCCCCCTCTTGCTTTCTTTGTATTTGTGCTGCCCGAGCAGAAAGTTGGGATAGAAAGGAAACCTAGGCGATATTATGTTCCTCTTATATGATCTCCTTTAGTATTTTTCTTAAACGTCTAATCTTAGATATTGATCAGTGGAACAAAGTTATAGAGCAGTTGGGAACCCCTTCCCAGGAGTTTCTGATGAAGCTCAACCAGTCCGTTCGGACCTATGTGGAGAACAGGCCAAGATATGCTGGGTACAGCTTTGAAAAGCTTTTCCCCGATGTCCTTTTCCCGGCTGACTCGGAGCACAACAAGCTCAAAGGTAAGGCCGTTTCCTTTTTAAACAACAGGAGTGTTTTAGAGCATGATAACAAGATGAGGTTTTGTTTTTAGCATTGTATTGATGTTGCATAATTATCATTTTGTTTAATGAATCTCTGCAGTAAAATGGGTATCCTGAATTACCTGGTATAGCTACTGTCTTGCAAGAGTATTCAGTCCCTTGCACAGTTTTCACATGTTATTGCTATAGAGCTTTCAGCTTTGGAAGTACTTGAAAGTAGCAATTTGTTATATATGTAACCTATTCCACATGTTCAAATTAAAAATAAATTATAAATAAATAGCAATATGAAATAAATGAGAAAGACACGATTGCGTAAGTATTCAAACTTTGCTGTGGCAAGCCTAAATTGATTTAGGTGGACAAAATTACGTTA